TTACATGGCACACTGATAGGCCTCTTGCTGAATCAGTCCACTATCACCAGTGCAGCATCATATCCCTTCTTGTCAGGAGGGAAAGAATGGAAATCCATAGAGATGTGCTGCCAAGGCTGTTCTGCAATGGGCAAGGGTTGGAGTAGTCCAGGAGCACAGTCTTGTGGATTTTCAGCTCTTTGACACTTTGAACAGTTCCATATGTATCTCTCAACATCTCATCTCCAGGTTGGCCAAAAGTATCGCGTTTGGACAAGCTGTTGAGTCTTTGTTCTCCCTGGGTGTGCAGTTGACACCTGTGTATGTACTTCATCCAGCAACTGAGTATGCAGCTTGGGATCATCATCAGGTACAAACAGTCAGTTGCCTTTCAGTAGCAAGCTGTCTTGCACAGTCCAATCATCCACTCCCTTCTGAGCCTTATCACAGTACTCTTCTGCAGTTGCTCCTCAGTTTGCCTTGAGCACCTGGTCAACAATCTGCAAGGTGGGCTCCAGGGCATCAACCTGCGCGCACTGCTCAACAGATTCAGGTTTCAACAGGATTTGTTGATGGTACTCATCCTTCTTCTGTATCTCAGTTGTTGGTCAACTGAGGGCGTCTGCCAGAGTGTTCTCTTGTCCAGGTCGATATCAGATGAAAAAGTAGAATCAAGAGAGGAACTCAGCCCATCAGGCTTGTCAAGTGTTCAGCTTCTTTGTTGTCATAAAGTATTCTAATGCTCAGTGATCAGTATAGACATCAAAGCATTCTCAGAGCTGCAACCCTTCCAGCTCAGCACACCACTCCTGCAATGTGCATATGATTGCTAGCATTTCTTTGTCATGGATCTCATAGTTGTGCTCGGCATCTGACATGCTCTTTGAGTAATAGGCAACTGGGTGCCAGAGATCTCCATGCCTCTGAGAAAGAACTCCTGCCACTACTCCATCTGATGCATCTGTCTCCAATCTTGTCTCTAGATCAGGGTGGTAATGCTGTAGTATTGGGGTGTCTGTTAACTGCTTCTTCAACCCTTCAAAGGCTTGCCAGCATTCAACTGTCCATATGAAAGGGACATCCTTCCTTGTCAGTTGGTTCAATGGTTTTGCAATGCAGCTATAGTCCTTGATGAACCTCTGATAGAAGTTGCAAAATCTAAGGAAGGACTGCACACCTCAGACAGTAGTTGGCACTGCCCAGTCAGAGATCACAGCAGTCTTTTCTGGGTTGACTTCAATACCATTTGTTGTCAAAATAAATCCAAGGTACTTCATCTGGGTGACATGGAACTCACATTTCCTGATACTGGCTTGGAGTCCTGCTGCATGTAGTCATTTGAGCACTTTCTTGACATGGAGCTCATGTTCAGCAGTGTCCTTGGAGTAGATAAGCAGATCATCCACAAATGCAGTCACAAAGTTGTCCAAATAGTCCGTAAGGGTATCATTGATGAACTGTTGGAAAGCGGCTGGTCCATTGGTGAGTCCAAATGGTAAAACATGATATTTGTAAGTCCCATACCAGGTCTGGAATGTTGTCAAGTCCTCAGACTCAGGGCTGAGTTGGATTCAGTGGAAACCTTGTTGAATGTCCAACTTTGTAAAGATCTTTGCTCCACTGATTTGTTCCATCAGTTCATCCACAAGAGGAATGGGATACCAATCCTTCCTTGTAATTGCATTCAATTTCTGATAGTCAACACAGAAATGCAGGCCACCTCCTGGCTTATGCACCATCAAAATGGGAGATGCAAAAGGTGCTGTACTGGGTCCAATGAACCCCTTGTTGAGGTTATCCACAATGTAGTCATGTGTGGCCTCCAGTTCCTCAGTTGTCTGCTTGTACAGGGGGCTGTAGCTCACAGCTGACTCTACAGTCTTCCCCTCCTCCAGTTCAATGCAGTAGTCATTCACTCTTCAGGGAGGCAACTCATCAGAGACTGCCTTGAAGAAGACATCAGCATACTCTTGGTACTGCTGGGGTAGCAATTGCTGCACTAGTTCCTGCTCCTGAGTCCTGACAGTCTTCTTCACAACGCTTCTCAGCCCACTTTTCCTCAATGATGCAGTTGATCTCAGACAGACTGGTGATGAAGGCTTCTGTGTCCTTATTCTTCAGATGTCATTGAAAAGGCGCTGCTCCAATTGCTGCAATATCAATCTGGGTTGTCATCTTCTTCAGGGCCTCTGGTTGATGGTGACTAATCAGTGGGAATCCCCTGAATCTGCTGATTGGTCCATTGTGTTAGGATACAAAGCCGCATAGCGGACTTATGCATGTACATAACGCGCACGTGCGGTTAATAAGCACCCGCACATCACATGACCGCGACATAAAGTCTTAACCTCGCTGATGGCCGAGGACAGGACATCAGCGATTAGTACCGTGAATACTACACATATACTTCTCATAACACTCACTGCGCTATCTATAGACCTTCTCTCACAATCCTAATCGCTCTTTTTATCAGGATAGCCTCAGTGAGATGTTATTTCACTCCAACATGCCTCCAAAACGAACTATGCAGAACTCGAACGCAGAGCAGACAAACAACAGAGTCCCTGACAATCCACACATTACCAATACTATGGAACCCCCCCAAGTCGAGTGAACGCAGGAGCGCGACCTGCAGAATGCCACCATACCAGAAATTGACGCAGCTATAGAAAGAGCGCAGGAAAAGGAAATTCAATGAATAAAACTACAAGAACTACAAGAAATTGAACAGCAATTGCGTCAACAAGACCATATACCCTTTCATGAGATGATCAACACACATCCATCCGAACCTTCCGCACCTGCATCCAAGATTGATTTCCCAACTCAACCAAGTACACCTTCAACCTCAGTTAGTGCGCGAACTGAATCCATGCACTTCAAGAAACCTCCACCCAGCATCCAGAATGTCTCCACCTTCAACACTTCAGGCAACAAGGAACTTGAGATGTTCATGAACAAATTGACAAATCACTTTGAGATGTATCACAACTATTTTGCGCTCAATGAAAAAGGCAAGATAGCAACTGCAGCAGCATTCCTCAGCAATGACTTGATCAATCACTGGATGCGTGAGAGGAAGAGCAATCCAGGTGCCACTTGGGAAACTTTTCAAGCCTTCTGCCAAAGAAAAACTGCAGATCCATGTCTCCAATGATGCAATGCGGCACTAAACTACCATAGGGCAAACCAAAGAGAATATCAATCAGTAACTGAATTTGCCAATGTTCTGGACAGCCTGGAAGAGCAAGCAGGACTGAGTTACAAAGACCACCAATGAAAAGTACACCTGCTAGTACAATTGTACAAACCCATCTGCAGGTTAGCCCAACAAATGCAGGGTGAACCTGAAGAGTACCACAGTTATATCTCTTGGCTCCGCGGCGTTGAAGACAACATCCCAGGCAGACCTCATGTACTCAACAGTGCCAAGAGAAACTGCTACAGCAGAAAACACCAAGAGAGAAAGAACACCAACTCCTCCACACCTCAAGATCGCCCAAGAAATCAATGGACAGGTGAAAAGCGCAAAAGAGATCCCAATGATGGACAAAAACCTCAATTTTGTTGGAAGTGCAAGAAAGGACCACACCCACCAAATGAATGCCACAGTGCGCCATGGAAAAAAGACTTTGGCAAGCCAAAAAACTAGATGGACCAGTACTGGGAGCTGCTACTGTACTGGGCATTGCCGCACTGCAGCCTGAACAGACCGAACGAAAACACCTGACATTCACTGTTTTGGTAGAGACACCCCAAGGACCAAAATCAGCATATTGCCTCCTAGACAGCGGAGCTGAAGCAAACTTCATACAACAGCGTTGGGCCAAGCAACACCTCCCTGACATTGATAGCCCAGTGCGCCAAGTGAGGGCCATCAATGACACCACTGTCAAATCATATGGCTCACAAGAACTACACCTCATGATTGGCGATACACATATGGAACTTCAAGACCACATTGAGATAATGGAATCAGTTGACATGACTGAATACGACCTCATATTAGGCTACCCCTGGCTCGAATGGGTAGACCTGGATATATGATGGTCTGAGAAACATTGGTTCTACCGATCCTGCAGAGACAGACAGAATGACACCAGTGTCATCTCCCCACAGACCTGCGCCATGCTACTTGAACAGGGTGACTCAGTCTATATGATACAGCCCCATCATGAACAGAGAACAACATATATCAACACAGGATACTTGGCTGCTGCATCCATGGATGAAAAACCTGCAGACAAACCAGGAATACCACTGCAATATATTGATTATGTGCACGTCTTCTCAGAACATGAGGCAGGCATCCTTGCCTCTCATGGGGACCACAACCATGCAATTGAATTAGAACCAGGTAAACCTCCTCCATTGAAACCAATATACCCCCTATCACAAAACGAGCTTGGAGTTGTATGGGAACACCTGCAGAAAGCCCTTGAGTTAGGCTGGATCCAACCTTCCACAAGTCCTGCAGGTGCCCTGATTCTCTTTGCACCCAAGAAGGATGGTGGTCTCCGCCTATGCGTGGATTACCAGGGTCTAAATTTGATCACCATCAAAAACCGCTATCCAATTCCTCTCATCAGTGAGATCATGGATCGCCTATCAGGTGCCAAAATCTTTACTCAGCTTGACCTGTGTGATGCATACCACTGCATCAGAATCTGCATGGGTGATGAATAGAAAACAGCCTTCTGCACAAGATACAGACATTTTGAATACCAAGTCATGCCATTTGGCCTTGCCAATGCACCAGCAACTTTTCAATCTTACATACACTGAGCCCTCAGCGGCCTTCTTGACACATGTTGTATTGTATACCTTGATGACATCCTCATCTACTCCTGCACTGAGGAGGAGCACATTCAGCATGTGTGCATGGTGTTAGAATGCCTGCAAAAGTACCAACTATACTGCAAATTGAGTAAGTGCACATTCCATACAGATATTGTGAACTTCTTGGGTTTTGTGATTAGTCCGCAGGGCGTCTCAATGGAGTGTGAATGAGTTGATACCATCTTGGACTGGCCAGCCCCTGCGAGTGTGCATGACATCCTCATGTTCCTTGGCTTCATGAACTTCTACCGCCAGTTTATCCATGGATACTCTAGGATAGCCGCACCACTTAATGAAGCAACAAAAGGAAAACCTGCTCATACAGGGAAACAGAAGTTCAGGAAAGGAGAATTTTATGATGATCCCAACTTTGAGCTACCAGAAAACGCACTGCATGCTTTCAATGACCTCAAGACCAAATTTGCATCTGCACCATTACTCGCACATTTTGATCCAAAGCACAAGATTGTCATCAAACCTGATGCATCTGACTTTGCCATGGCTGGAGTCTGCACACAGCTGCATGATGACAGTGAATGGCATCCCATCACCTTCTGGTCCAGAAAGTTCCAAGGCGCAGAAATAAACTATGGTACACATAACAAAGAGCTTTTAGCCATTGTTGAATCATTCAAACACTGGAGGCACTACCTAGAGGGTAGTATGCATACAATCACTGTCTTGTCTGACCATGCCAACCTGTCTTATTTCATGACGACCACTGAACTAAACAGGTGGCAGGCAAGATGGGCAGAAAAGCTTGCTGCGTTCAATTTCATCATCCAGCACCACCCTGGGACAAAGAATCCTGCAGATGCGCCGAGCCGTCGTCTGGACTATGAGCCCAGAGAAGGTCAGAGCCTTGGTGCAGATGCACTGCTCCTGACACTTCAAAGAAAGTTCTGCCATAGCTCCTCTACAATCCCACAAGCAAGTGAAGAAATTTTTGAAAATGGACCTAAGATGGTCGCAATGCTCGCGCGCTGGGAAC